ATGCACATTCCCTAATACCACTTGTATATATATAGATATGATAAAGGCATACTGGTATTAATGATTATGCATTTTGTATTTGCAGGAAGGATCTCTCCTTCACCAAAACTCAGCACCTCTATAATCCCTGGAATGAAGGCAAACCAGTGAAGATTGGAAGAGATGGTCAGGTAAGAGTGCAAATGGATTTTTTTATCTACTTGATTTTTATGCCTTCTGTTGTGGTTTTCTTTTAAAGATATTCCTGAACATCATATAGAAAGTAGAATGAAGCTTGTATTATGGTAAATCAGGATGATATAAGTCTCATGAATTTTTTAAAAATATAATATGGCTTGGTTTTATATTACTCTTATTACGTATAATTCACTCTTTTTTGAAACTCAGCATGCACTCTTAAACCATCACATTGTGGGAAGTATTTGGGTTATTAATGATCACTTGATATCATTATTTTTTTTATCTTTTACCCTGTTTATTTGATTCTCCATCTTATTCTCACTCTAAGATTAAGCAGTTTTGTGAGGGAATGAAAGTTGATCTTTCTGTCTATATCTCTATCTTGCTTCGGTGTCTCATTGCAGATATGAATGAACCATTGTCACCTGTAAGATGCTCTTATGGCTCTTTGCCATTTTTGTAAGAGTGAGAGACTGAGTAAGAGAGAGTGTGTGTGTGTGCGTGTGTGTATACAGTAATATGAAAAAGGAGAGGTAGAGTACAAAGGAATGAAATTATAAACCTACAAGAAGTATGTAAGTGAACAATCTAAAATCCTGTTTGCTATTGCTTATGTGATCGCAGTAAAGACCAGAGATTAAAATTTGCTCACCTAAGGTAAGGGAATTGACTTTAAAATGTTTATTTCATTGACAATTAATCTCTTGTTTTGATTTATTAAGAAGGAACAAACTCGTGTTACACTGTAATGAAGATTTATTATTATTATTTGTATATAAAGATGTGGAAAAAGTGAATATGGTCAAAGTAACATCAGTGCCTGTAAGCCCAAATTAAATTAATTTTTTCAGCATTCCATGAACTTGTTTGGAAATATGTTATATCTTTAATTGAATGAAAAAGTGAGTAATTTAATCTTGAAGATATAAAGCAAGATTCTGAAATATGTCTGCAAGATCTGAAGGCATTTTGTTTGATTAACTATGTTGAAGGGATCTCTTTTCACTTAAATGTAATGCTTAAGGTACTCAAGCAGAAAAGCAAAAAGAATCTTTATCTCTGTTTGTAGGAAATTGAACCACGAGTAGCGGAGGAGCTTTGTCGACTCTTTCCCAAAGATGACGGGGTTAATCTCACACCAGTCTTGCACAAAAGCAAGCGAGCAGCACGCGTTGCTCGGGCCAGGGGGCCTCTCCGCCGGCCACTACAACCAGCAGGAGACCGCCGTGGCCGCCCCAGAGAACGTGGAAACTTCCGGGGCCGAGGGGACGTAAGCTTCAGGTGCGTCACTACCACCAAGGTTCAGTCACGGCTTGGAGAGTTACATATCATATTGATGTTGCCAGTGATGGCTCTCTGGGTAATGATAGCTTCATCTCTCACCAGTGCACAACTAGTACTGTGGCCATCACATTACATAACACCACACATGTTGCAGTTTGAAACTGATTTAGTAATGAAACCCTATAATTCTATCATGCAACAGCACACATGACCCAGTTTTAAATAAGTGGAAATCAGTATTTAGACAGATTCAAGACAATTTTTTCAGTATTCATCACAAACAACAGTCAGTGCTGGTCTCGGGTTGAAGTTGTGTTGTGGAAGGAGATGTATGGTAGCATTCTCTATGGTGGCAACAGTGGCAACTAGCAGATAAGACTCTCCAGTATCCAATACAGTAAATGGACTGACAGTCAGTAAGTGCGTGGCAACGTGTCACGGATTCTGCTAGTATCAGGGTAAACACGTGAGACTGGCATGGCCCCTCGTGGGTCAGCCCCACTCACTCCCTCAGTGTCTTGTTACCGCTCTGTCTCTCACCCCAGTGCTGAGGACCCCTATCCTCTCACAGGACTCTGTCCCTTTCTCTCTCACACAACCTGGCTAGTGAGTGACACACCCACCACAAACATAACCAGTGCAGTGCGTACCTCCACATCAGTTAATACCTAACTACCATCATCAAGAGCAGGCATAGACTAGGTGTTTCCTTTTGATAATTAGAACTTCAGATAGTAGAAGAGTAAATATATGCTGGTAAATAAGTTCTACCCAGTGGACTTGTCCGTCAGTATATCTTAAGAGACCATTATCCAAATAGTAGTATAATGAACTTTCAGTGAAAGTAGTGAGTGGTTGGGTCAAGTCCATATACCAGCAGTAGGTGACACTCACTAGCAGGTTGGCACAGAGCCAGGCCCCACCATGTGGACTCGGCTTAGCTGTAAGGTATTGGTCATAAACTTTTTTGTAAGGTAGTGTCTTGCATGGACTCGCTCAAGCATTCAGGACCAAGTGTGTTGGAGATCCTATAAGT